AGTTTTGAAAGCCACTGGGGCACCTCTGCTCTGCCCTACAGGGTCACTGTGGGAGTTGGAATCATTTGAGTTTGAGCATGTCATCCCTTTGTGGTAGGGGGGAGACAGTAGACAGCTAGAGAGCCTGGAGGGCCGGTCCCCCACAGCAGCTTCATAGAGCACAGCATTTTCTTCACTTGGCTTGTTAGAGGCCAAGACAGGGCAACCGTTTCTAGGTGGCCATCTTTCCCTCCTATCCCTTTCTCCAAAGTGGTTCTCAAAGCGTGGTCCTCAGACCATGCGAATGAGCATCACCAGGGAATCTGTTAGACATAGAAATGATGGGGTCTCGCCGTGGACCTATTTAGTATCAGAATCAACTGAAAGAATTTGTTAAAAGAGAGTGTTGGTCCTACCACCTGAGTTTCTGATGCAGAAGCCCCTTAAAAAAAACCTGAGCAACTGACCCATAAAATTTAAATGATTAAATGTTTTGATCTGCCTGCGAACAAAGAGTTGGCTTGTAACAAAGGAGATAGGATTCTGAAATAGAAACATGTAGCTCAAAACAAAACAAACAAACAAAATCATCTTGCTTTCACGTCTCTGCCAGATGATTCAAGGACAGGAAAAAATATATTTCAATTTAAAAATACTGGTGGGTTTTAAACAAAGCAAAAACTATCTTTTCCTCATTCCGGGAGAAAAATAGGTAAGAATTGCTTAAAGCTCAAGATTACAGTCCTAAGATCTTTTACCAGTAGCTGATGAACGGTCTTCAAAGTGTCTTTTATGCATGCAGCATCGCCCAAAACATTAGGGAGATGGAGAGCTTTTGTAAAATTGGGACTCCGTCTTTTCACTGCGCAGGTTTAAAACATTCATATTGTCCTGAAGTCATAATTCCTGTAGTAGTTTTGAATCAGTTCTGCAATTCAACGATTCAATCCTCATGACTATTCCTTCGCCTTGGCTTCCTCCACTGCCTTTGCAGCGTAGCTAGGCGGGTTCAAACTGCTGACTTGCAGTGATTAACCGAGCACACACCCCGTGAACCACCCGGGATAAAGCAGAGTACAGTGGCTG